TCTAGAGTTTTCCTTTCTTGCCTGTACTTGAGTTCATGTGTGAAATTAACTAACTCCACTTGAAAAGTGAATAAGAGAGCGCCAGCCAGGCACAGGTGGCTCATGCCTGTAGTCTTAGCTACTCTGGAGGCTGAGATCTGAGGGATAGTGGTTCAAAGCCAGCCCAGGCAGACAAATTTGAAAGACTCCAATTAACCAGAAATGGAGCTGTGGCACAAGGGGTAGATGCTAGACTTAAATAGAAAAAGCAAAGGAATAATTCCCAGGCCCTGGGTTCAAGCCCCAATACAGGCACAAAATAAAAGGTTGACCAAGAGATAGCCCTCAGACGCTAGGACCTTAGTAATGGTTCCTCACAACTCCTCAGGGAAAGAGTTGCACAGCAATCTTACTTTGTAGAACCAAAGACGAGCGGGAATGTGCTCCCTCCCTGTCCTCCACCCAACCACAAAAGCTCTGTTGTGCTCTGTGGGGGACAGAAATGTATGCCGAACTTGAGTCCTTTGAAAGCATGCCCGATGAAAGATGTGATGCTCCCCTAGTGTGGGGTGCACCCCGGTAATCCCAGCGCCTCCAGGAAAGAGCCCAGAGAAGTGAGCAGGGGGCCAGCCTAGGAAACATACACAGGCTGGACTAGAAAGTGTTTGGTATGGGCTGGGAAGGTGGCTCAGTGGTAGAGCGCTTGCCTTGCATGCCTGAGGCCCTGGGTTCGATTCCCCAGCACCACATAAGCAAAAAGAAAAGAAGCCGGAAGTGGCGCTGTGGCTCAAGTGGTAGAGCACTAGCCTTGAGCTGAAGAGCTGAGGGACAGCACCCAGGCCCAGAGTTCAGGCCCCACGACTGGACCCAAAAAAAAAAAAGTGTTTGGTATTTATTTAGTACTTAGTGACAAACTTTCTTGGTGTTTAAATAATTTACTAATTCATAATAAATAAGTGACTCATGTATTATTTCTCTTAAGAAAATAAATAGGAAGTAAAATTAAATTAGAAAGACAAGGTGACCTCAAAGAAACTGTGTGCCACCTCGCTAAGTGCTGAAGGTGCGGAGTGGAAACGCCCTCATGGGCCCACAGGTCCCAGTCACACACCCCGCGAGTTCTCAGTAACACACCACCGGCTCGTGCTGCATGAGAAAGCAAACCCAGTGTATCTATGAAAACATGATACAAAAAATTTAGGATCAGCTGTGGAATGGCCTGTATTGCCTGTTGGTTTAACAAGCTATAGCCTTGACATGTCTTCTAAGCAATCTACTGTTCCATGAGAAAGGCTTTTGTTCAGTTTTCATCTAAACACCCACAGTGCCTGGATTTAATCCAGCAATTATTAAAGAAGCTACAGAAACAGAGTTCATAACCGTGAACCTATGCTTTGTATTCGTGGTGCACTGTCAGACACATCTTCATTGGTAGTTTAATGTTTCCATTTTGCCACTTTAGCACCCATCTGATAGACTAGCTTTCATTTCCTTCAGGGCTAAATTCATCCAAATTTGCCTAAGAGTTTGAACATTGCTTCCTGGCATAAATGACTTGTGCCTAGTGAAAGGTGTTGTGACACACCTCTCTATACAGAGAACACACTTGGAGCATTGCTGCCCCTCTGCTACTCCTCTCATCTCTTCCTCCTTTCCTCTTGCCCCCATCTGCCTTCCTTTTCCTTTTACAACTTCACTTGTTTTACTTATTTGTATCCTTCTAGCTTCTACAAATGAGGGAAAACATGCAGTCCTTGGTTTGTGAGACTTTATTCACATAGTATCATGATCTCTTGTTCATCCACTTTTCATCAGATGTCATCATTTCATTCTTATTCATTCTTTTATGTAGTTTTATTATCTTTAAGTACTTGTACAGAGGGGTTTCCATTCAACCTGTCGGTTTGTAAGTATCATGCGTTGTGATCACAGTCTCCCTTGTTGGGCGACATGGGGAAGAATCTCATTCTTAATGCTGACTAGAATTCACTTGTGCATATAGACCGTATTCTGTGTGCTCATCCCTCCACCGGCAGACACTTCAGCTAATTCTGTAATTGGCTGTTGTGAGGAGCCCCAGCAAGACCGTGGGGGTGCTTGTCCCAGGGTTTTGAAGATGCTCCAGGGAGCTCTCCACAGGAGCCACATTCCTGTACATTCCCCACACCCTTGCCGGGATTTGTCGCTAAACTCAGTGAGGAAGGAAGGGATTGGAGACTGGATGCTCTAAGTGTCTGGCACAGGAACTGAAAAGAGGAAATAAATGTTATTTTTAGATTAGTTTTGCTATATAGCTATAGGTTTTCTCATTAATCATTCAAGGGTCACTAAGCTACAAAGTCTTCCAGGTCATCTTATGTGTAATTTTTTAAACTTCAGATTTTGAAAAACATGTTTATTGGTCGTCTGAAGGCTCACATTGGAGATCTGCAAGCCTATCAAATCCCATCTTTTTATAATGGTATCAGGGATGTGTCACCTTCATTTAAGAAACCCTTTGCTGAGCTGGGCACAGGTGACTCATGACTGTAAATGTAGTTACTCAGGAGGCTGAGATCTGAGGATCATCGTTTGAAGCCAGCTCAGGAAAGCAAATCTAAGAGATTCTTACCTCCAGTTAACTAGCAAAAAGCTGAAAGTGGAGGCATGGCTCCAAAGATGCAGCTTTTTTCAGCCATGAGCATCAAAAGGGTGAGCAAGAGCAAGGGGGAAGGAAGGAAGGAAGGAAGGAAGGAAGGAAGGAAGGAAGGAAGGAAGGAAGGAAGGAAGGAAGGAAGGAAGGAAGGAAGGAAGGAAGGAAGGAAATGTTCTCTCAACAAAAGTAAGGTACCCTCATACTAATGGGTGCTATTCACAATGTATGCATAGCATACCTCAATACATGTATCTGACAAATATATGCAGTTGTTACTCTCTAATTAAAAATAAAACAAAGACAAAAAAACTCCAGGAACACATTCTGGTTTCTTTGTTGTCTAGACAAAAGTTTCAATTAATGACATTATTAGATTTCAGTGCCCAGTTATTTATTTCTTGTGCCTTTTCTCTTAGTCTCAAGCGTTCCCATTCTTTGGTCAACTTTTAGGGCAGAGTGAAGAAGGAAATATTTTCTAAACCCTAAGAGACCTAAAATGGGACTGGAACAATTGAAAGCAGAGGCCGTTAGTTTCACAGGGCAAGGTGAAGGTGATTGAAGAGAGGGCATGGGCCTGTGAGCAGGAGTCCTGTACCCTGCATCCTGTGCCCAGCACCCAGAGGGGGCCCCTGAAGACACTGGGCCGGCTGTTTCTGGTGAGAACAGCATCTGATTTAAAAAATTTAAAACCGAGAGTAATCACAGCTGCTATCTATAAACAGCACTGAACATTCCGAATAATGCATGTGCTACTCAGCACCTCTTTTCCTTCAGAATTTCATTAGCAAACCCTTTTTTATTTTAAGATTAATATGTCAAATTACAGGCCAAATGCAATCCCATTCTGTGCTGATAAAGGGTGTGACGGTAGCCTGGAGGAGCTTTAATAAGAGTGCAGTTTCACCAGTGTGATGCAACAAAGCAAAACCAATTAAATTCGAAACTAATCCAGTGGCACGGTAATATATTTGTACAACTAATATGGTTATTCTTAATTTTCATCCTCTCTTGATTTAACTTACAGTCTTCTCTAAAGGCAAACCCACTTAGGAAAAGCTCAGTGTTTTGGGTTTTTTCGCTTCAACTCTCCTATATTGGTAACCCTCCCCTACCCCCAACCTCCAGATCCATAGGCCTCCCAACACGGGCATGCCAACATCAATAGAGCACATGCGAGGGTCTGTGTGAAATTTTACACATTACATCTCCTCATTCACGGCGTGTGTCAGCCAAAAGCTGACTGTCATCTTCAGTTTTAACGATTTATGGTCAGTGTAGGTGCATATTTAATATACAAATAAATAACTGTTACATATAACAAGATTATCACTAAACATGACATCCATGAGTTCTACAACATGTATTGAAATATGCATTCTCAATAAGGAAATAATTCTCTGCCATCATGTATATTTCTTTGCTTTTAGTTTCATGGAAGAGTCACAGAGATGTTGTTATTGATCTAGGCAGTGAATGTTTTCTTTAGGCAGAATTGGCTCTGTGGCAACAGCGTTATTATTGTTGGTGCTGCACTGGGCCATGAAAACTCTGTTTCTCTCTTTCCTTCTTTATTTATTTATACTGTCTTTGGGTAGTTGTGCCGTGGGGTTCCACTTCAGTATGTCTGTTTGTGAGTCCGTGCTTCTCGACCAGCCACACTGGCAGCTCTGCAGCTGGAGTGAGGGGCAGCATCGCTCCATACCTGACGGGTTTTCCATGCCCCTCGTCCTGCAGACAAAACACAGACTTAAAAAGGGAATTTCCGCTGGGTGCCGGTGGCTCATGCCTGTAATCCTAGCTACTCAGGAGGCTGAGATCTGAGGATCGCAGTTCAAAGCCAGCCTGGGCAGGAAAGTCCGTGAGACTCTTATCGCCAATAAACCACTAGAAAATCGGAAGTGGCGCTGTAGCTCAAGCGGTAGAGCGCTCGCCTTGAGCTGAAGAGTGCAAGAACAGCCCCCAAGCCCAGAGTTCAAGCCCCACGACGAACAAAAAAAAAAAGGGAGGGGGGAATTTCAGTTTACAAGTCAGGTATGCTAAACCCCGCAAAAACTGCAGTGTGCACTTCTCACCAGTGGGGTGAGGACCAGCTGTGAGCCCCGTTGTGGCAGGCCAGAGACCAGGCGGGCCAAAGTGGTTCCCCACCTGCTCCCCCAGGGCAACCACGTGGCCAGTTGCCTGGTGAAAACCACCAAAACCTGAATGGGGAAATAGTTGAACCACCCATGCTAAAGAAAAGTATCATCTAAAAATAAGAACTATCTGCTTTGTTACTCTGGAAATGATCATTTGGGGCTCAGATTCTAGCTGGAATATACTCAGGCCTTGGTGTTATCACAGTGACAAAGGAAGTCCGCTCAGCTGACTGCTCTTCCTCTCTTCCCAGTGGCCAGTATCCAGAAGCTCCCAGCAGCCTCCGTTCTGACAGACATCAACTTCCCCATGAAGGGACGGAAGGGAATGGTGGACTGGGCCAGGAACTCCGAAGACAGGGTCCTGATACCCAAAAGTATTTTCAGCCCAGTGTCTTCAAAAGGTGAACCGCGGAGACTGAGCGTTGAGCAGAGCACCCTCACAGTAGCGTTAGTGGCATAGAGCTCCATTCAGTAGACATGATGTTTACAGTCATGATCCCAGCCCACTTTTATAAGTATAGACAGCTCACACTGGGCTTGTACACATCCTAATTTACTGAGGAAAGGAACGTGACTGTTAAAGTTCTCAAGAAAACAGTGACAAAATGCAAAAATGTTCAAAACTGAGATTTGTATCCCAGGATAGAACATATAACTTCATCTGTTGGCAGTGGCTCACACCTGTAACCCCAGATACTCAGGGGCTGGGATCCCAGGATTATGGCTCAAAGCCAGCCTGGGCAGATAAATCTGAAAGACTCTTATTAGCAGTTAACCAACAACAAGTCAGAAGTGGAGGTGTGGCTCAAGTGGTAAAGCACCAACCTTCAGCAAAAAAAGTAAGGGAAAGAACTCAGGCTCTGAGTTCAAGCACCAGTAATCATACACACACACACACACACACACACACACACACACACACACACGTATACACATACATACATACGTGCCTACACATACATACACTGTATCTGTAAGTGTATACGTATATCTATACATATATATCCCATATTTATTTGTATATAAAGGAGATATTGATGCATGTTCTGCTTTCTCTACAATGTCATTTTTCTTACTGTCTCACATTAAAGTTTTCTTTGTTTTTTAGGACATTATCTTATTGCATTAACATACCTTTAGTAGAAATAACTTTTACGAACTTATTCAGTAGCCTCTAATATTAGTGGCTTTTTCCAGAAGTGAAATGATGGTCTTAATATTCCCACTTTGGAGATTTCTAAGCTTAAAATTTTATACTACAGAAAACACTTGTCTCTTTGCCCTGATATCATAGGGGAATTAAATCCTCTAAATGTGACTGAAGAAAAATCTTGTCCCATTCTGGTCAGGGCCAGGTTGGGTCCCAATGGGAAGTCACCAGCTTCCTTGCCACAGCTACCAGAAGTGTGCTGGGGTCCCCAGTGAGCTGGGTCTGCTCCCTGCTTCCTGTGTCCCCCGGGATGCAATGGGTCTGCTCCCTGCCTTCATCTTGGCAATGTACAAATACAGTTTGGTAAGACAGTATTTTTCTTGTTGTTTAACTAATACCTTCCATTTTATCTTTCAGAATTAGATGAATCATCTGTGTTTGTTCTTGGAGCTGTCCTATACAAAAACTTAGATCTAATTTTACCTACTTTGAGGTAAGCTACAAAGGAATAAGCTGTGGTAGTCTTTCTCCATTATTTGAGTTTTTTTAATTGTAGTTCATTCTGTGAAAATAGTCGAACAGGCTTTGGTAACACAATGGGCTTATTCTGCAGTGAAATATACAATATCCATTTAATGCACAAGTTAGTAGTGTATTATGCATTTTAAATAAATTAGAAAAGACCATTTTGTTGTCTGATCAGAACCCTGCAATTCTTTTGTAACTGATCATTGCTTGCCTAGAAATCAGAGGGAAGGAAGGGCAACCCTTGGACTCCCTGGCACAGAACGGGTCATTGCAATGTTAATCCACTTTATGACACTGTCCATCAACATCATATGAAAGTCAATGCTTGCTGTAGTAGCTGGAAAACATGGTTTTGGTCTTAATTTGCACAAGACCTCCATTTGCTTCAAAACAGAATTTTAGTTACTACTACATTAAGAAAAATATATGGCTTATTCTGAGGAACATGTTGAAGAGCCAGGTCAAGCAGAAAACTTCCTGAGATGCTTGCTCCAGTTAACTACCAAAAGCCAGAAGAAGAGGCTTGGCTCAAGAGGGAAAACACCAAGCAAGAGCTCCAGTCTGGACTCAAAACAAAAACAAACAAAACAAACAAAACAAACAAAAGCCCATATCAGTATGCATCATAATTCATAAAACTTATTCAGTCCAGATGCTTGTGGCTCACACCTGTAATTCTTAGCTACTCAAGGCTGAGAACTGAGGATTGTGGTTCAAAGCCATCCCCAGGTAGGAAAGTCCCAGGAGAGTCTTATCTCCTATTGACTATCAAAAAGCAGGAAGCAGAGAGATGACTCAAATAGTGGTTCACCAGCCTGGAGCAGACACAGTGCCCAGGCCTTGAGTTCAAGCCCCAGTACCAGCACAAAAAAAATTAATATAAACACACAAAACCAAAAATCACAAAATGCATTCATAGAGATATGGATTCTTTCTGCTTCTTAAAGAAGAGAGGTATGGTGGATAAGAGAGCTTGGAGGAAGTCCTGCTCTCCCCGGGTGGTGTTCCTTCACATCAAGCTTACCTATTTATTTAAAGCTTGTATATTTATATAAAGGTTTTAAGAATTCTAGGCTAGATAGTGACATAAAACCAGGTTGTTTCTGTTTCAATTTCAAGTTAACAAGACTAAAATTTCCTAGCTGCCTTGTCACTTAACAATTAAGTTGAACGCTCTTCAACTTTAAGCTAGAAGCAACTTTATCACCCACATTTGCATGATTTGCATGTGAGAACTATAATACATGCAAATAAAATATTCAATATATAACGCTTCAGATGATTAATTTACCTCCTAGATATGTAATGAAGTTGTATGATTCATCCTGTTCTGTAAAATATCCCAGAACAAACTCATCTGTACAGTTAGGGTATTTCAAGTTTCATAAATCTATGTAGTCAGGGAACTTAGAAATTTATCTAGGGATACCAATCTATAAAAATAAAAGAAAGGACATTTAATTAATGGTTCAGCTTTTAATCATCCAAGAGATGCTTGTCATTTACAGTGTATTCCTGGATTAATGGGCCCCTTGTGGGCTAGTTAATGAGCACAGCAAATAACATCCTGGCCATTGAATCCCCTACCGTCCTGTACCACAAACCAACTCTGAAACGGCAGACAGACCACCAAGTCTGTCCACGGGGAAGTTCAGGGCTTTGACTTACAAGTTATTTCCAGCTTCAGAAATTCTACACTGCAGAGAGTTGCTATGCATTCTCTAGACTCATCCCTTTCATAACGTTTGCTCAAGAACTAGAAAGAGAACCCTGACATCCCAGTCTCATGCTGTCCATCCAAGCCACTGAAGAAATGAGGTCTGAGGTTCGGAGCCGGCCTGGACAGACAAATCCAAGAGACTCCTATCTCTGATTAACCAGGAAAAAAAACACTCATGTGGTAGAGCACCATCCTAGAGTGACCACAGAAAAAGGGCAGCCCTCAAGCTCTGACTTTGATACCTGGTATCAGCACAAAACAAAAACAAAAGATTAATTTAAAAAGATTAGTGTTTATATTATAAAAGTATAGAAAGTCAGAGAAGTAAAATCTTAAACAATTGGGCTGGGAAGGCGGCTCAGTGATGAGGCCGGGTTTGATTCCTCAGCACCACATAAGCGGAAAAAGCCGGAAGTGGTGCTATGGCTCAAGTAGTACAGCACTAGCCTTGAGCTGAAGAGCTGAGGGACAGCACCAAGGCCCCATGACTGACAAAAAAAAAAAAAACTTAAAGAATAAGTTGAATTTTCTCCACCCCTTGAATAGCACCACAGAGATTTCAGTGTTTCAGATGGCAGCCATCACACATCTCAAGGGCGGGAAGAACTTAATTGCTATAGTTGTGATATCTACTTGGCTGTACGATCTGCTGTTCTGGCAGGATGCCCCAGAGCACAGGGTTCCAGGACATCACACAGCTGCAGATGGCAACTTGGGGGCCAACTATTCCCTTACGTGGATTATAATAAATTGATCGCATAAAGTAAAGGTAATTCTGTGTAGCACACACTTTTTTCCCAGAGGGAATCACTGTATAATGTAAGTTTGCTTATTTTTCCTTTATTAAACATTTAATACTGTCATAAACATTTAAAAGAACTGGGTAAACTGAGGTTTAGGGTGTATTTGTTCAACATTCATGTCTTGAGCACTAAAATGTCAAGTATGATGGAAATGAGGACACATATATGAGAATACCCTCTTGCCTTCACTGGTCTTAAAACCTTTAGAAGGAGGCATGTATAGAAATGGTGGATCCTTTGATAAAATTGGACACCCTACTGTCACAAGATAGGGCTGATGCCCAGGTGAGATGGGCAGCCAGTCATTGTTAATGAACGGGCACACACATCTTCCTGATAAAACTCAGCGAACGCGGGACTCAGGATGCCAGTCCAGGGCTTCCCTCTAGGCCCCCGGGCAGCCGACGCTCCGGACCCTGTGCAAAGCTGTCTGCATGGGCCGCTCCCGGTCCACCTGCTCCCAGTCCACCTTTGTCCACTGCCCACTCACCGGGGCCACAGCCTCAGCACAGAGAACAGTTCGCAAACATCCCGTGCACTTGCTAATCCTGCACAGAACGCCCATACCCATAGTTTTCAATAATGTAGCCACTTAGGTAATTTTAAAATAACAGAAATACTTTAAAAACTACCCTATGGACTGGCGGTGCTGAGCTTTATTTAGAGCGGGGAGGATGGGTTGTACCTGGCGTAGAGGAGCAGAGGAATGGAAGGGGTTCATAAATAACCAGCAGCACAGCAGAATTCCCGAGCACGCAGCTTCACCGGGGAAGGAGCTCGCGCCTGTGCAGCCGGCGCCATGTTGCCCTGGCCCTGGTGCTTCTTTTTTTTTTACTTGCATATTTCTGGTGGTGCCACACACTCATCTCCAAACCTCAAGCTCTAGCATGTTCCAAGAGCCCGCCGACTCTGCCAACATGACAGCTCACCTGGCAGGTCTTCCAGCCTTCTTACTTCATGTATACCCACTGACTCCCTGCCCGCTTTCACCCAGAGAACAACGCACTGGCCAAGCACCCTGATGCCTGACCCTCAAAGCTGCCCTCCCCCATGGTGCGGCCACTGCCAGCCCAGGCTCAGGACTCGGCGCTGGGAGGGCAGGCCGCTGGCTCGCTCGCTCTTCCTGCAGCTGCTTCTGTGAGGAAATGCGATGCGCTCGTGTCTTCTCGCCCGCTACGTTGTCCTGTGTAGTTAAGTGTGCTTCCTGCCATCACTGCGTACGTGAGGCTGGGTTCACAGCGACCTGCGCTGCCCAGTGCTCCAAACTCCCACTTGGGGAACCGCTCAGGGTTCTTTCCTCTGTGCCAAATACTATCCAAACTGCAGCAAGCGTTATCCTAACACACGAAGACACAGCCCAGTGGCTCAGGCTTGTAATCCAAGCTACTCAGGAGGCGGAATCTGAGAACTGAGGTTTGGAGTCCGTGGGGAAGGAAAGTCCATGGGATTCTTATCTCCATTTAACCAGCAAAAAGCTAGAAGTAAAGAACCACCTTGAGAGAACAATACGAAGGGACCATGCCCTGAGATTGTTGAGAGACGCCTCGGGAGTCTCCCTTGTCACACGACAGGACCAGGAGGCAGGCAGATAGGCATGAGCACGCTCCTCCCCACAGCCTCGCACCCCCAGGCCTCTGCTTAGACCTGGAGCTCCGAGGCCACATGGAAGCAGTGTGCAAAATGGCAAAGATGCCTTTATTTCTCTCCAGGTGCTTTGCTGGTGACGGTGCACGGGGTGTGCATCACATGCCCACGGGGCGGCCATGCTCGGGGAGTGTGGGTTTGAGTGCTGGCATCCTAGCAGGGGCTGAGCACTGGACAGAGCTCTTGTCAGCCTCTCCTACCTGCCTCTAATCCATGTTCCTCTGTTTCAGAAATTACACCGTCGTGAATTCCAAAATCATCGTGGTGACGATCAGGCCCGAGCCCAAAGCCACGGATTCATTTCTGGAGATAGAACTGGCTCACCTGGCCAATGTAAGTGCCCTTCATGTGGCCCGAAAGACTGGAGCACAGGCCCTGGGCCTTTGTAGTTGAAAACAAAGTAACGCCATATGAGCATGAGTATTACACAGAAGCACACTGACGTGTGAGGCTTTCGTGTATGATTATCATGTATGACAAACAGATTTCATCTGTTTGCGCATCTCCAGCAAGCTGTGTGTTTGACCCTGGGAAATGCAATGAGAAGCTATCTGTCTGTCCTCTGGTGGGAAGTGTGCTCCAGAAATGTGCAGCTGTGAGGGGCATGTAGTAGTAGAAATTATAATCATAGTTCAAAAGGGATGACTCATGTGGGCACCATGGCTCACACCTGTTATCCCAGCCACTCAAGAAGCTGAGATCTGAGGATCACAGTTTGAAGCCAGCCCAGGAAGACAAATTTTTGAGACCCTTATCACCAACTAACCACCAAAAACCAGAAGTGGAGCTGTGGCTCAAGTGGTAAAATGCTAGCCTTGAGCACAAAAGCAAAGGGACAGTGTACAGACCCAGTGTTCAAGCCCCAGGACCTGGACACACACACACACACATACACACACACACACACACACACACACACACACACACACATATGGGTCAGTCATGTTTCACATGCAAGAGTTTTATGCTATTCCTTGCAAAGCCTCTACAAAATTGTTTTCTATGGAAGAGGAGCCAGCAGGGATTGAGTCATTTTCGAAGGTTTACGAAGTTAGGGAGATAATTTAAATTCACATCCTGCAGGGCCCAAAGCCTGTCTAATGTCTGCTATTGTACATTTTCTGATTTCTGGAAGAAATCAGCCTTGGTATTTCAAGAAAATGATCCTCATCTTCCCCGGGAACTGGTTCTCGAGACAATGCCCCAGGCTTCTGGATGGTTTAATGAAAACTGCAAATCTTCCTGCGATAACTTTGAAACATTGCGATTAATATTTAAACTATGATACCATTTCCTACTTCGCCCAAATGTGAGCCTTGATTCTGCTCCACCTTCCCAGACCTCTCCTTGTGCCAGACACAGCTCTTCCTCCCTACCCCACCCCCACTGCAGAGTTGGGGGGAGGGGCGGGCACAGAGGAGGTTGGGCTGGAACATGGAATCTAAGTGTGTGCCCAAAGTCATTTATGAATTTATGAAAATATTTCTTCTGCTTCTTTTCATTGTTACTCATGAGAATATATAGTTACAAGCATTAGTATAAAATAGGAAGAAGTGTTAGTCCCTCATTGAAATTACTGAATAATATATAGGCTGTCAGAACAGATACCTTTATAATCATGCCTTTAACCCATAAGACTAGAACAAATTTTCTAAGCATTTTAGTTGAAGATTAATTATAACTCTTATGCAGAAAATATTTCTATAAATAAAGATTTGAAGACTTTCCCAAATAATGATGAAAACATTTATGATTTAAAGACCGTGTTAATTAGAGGAAATGGATAGATTATAAAAGAGTAACATCAAAAACCACGCTGAAGCAGTCCTACAACTTCAACTCCACAATACTATTGAAAGTGAACATGTTTAGGCTTCGAATCTAACCTTTCTCTTTCGGGAATAAACATTGGCTATATGATATTTTTAAAAGCTAAACCACACACAAGAAAATTATTTTCTATAGAGGGGGAAAGAATGGTTACTCAACAGACATCACAAAGAGTCACGTAGAAGCATGTAAGACTGTTGAGCCTGGTGCTGCTGACCACAGCTAGTCAGAGGCTGAGATCTGAGGATCATGGTTCTAAACCAGCCTGGACAGAAATGTCTCTAAGACTCTGATCTCCAATGAACTAATAAAAAGCAGAAGTGGAGTTGTGGTTCAAATGGTAAGGAGCCACTCTTGATCAAAAAAGCCAAAGAGAGCATGAGGCCCTGAGTTCAAACCCTAGTTCACGCACGCACATGGATGCACACACATGAGCACGCGTGTGTCATTTGATGTTAGAAGTAAATGCGCCGTCTGTGCTGTCCAAAGTCTGCTGTCCACTGTGACAGGTCTGGCAGAGCCAGAGAGGAGGAAGGGGCGCCGTCACCGTCACCCCCTCCCATCCCTTGTCACCTGCAGCACAGACCCGGCTCCAGGCACAGGTGGGGCCGCTGCTCACACAGCCTTTTGCTTCACGTGGAGTTGGCAACACTTATTATACCACTTACATTTACATTGCTCCCCAGGTCAGGTTTTGCCGAATATTTTCCCGTTCAAGAAAACAGTATATGACTGATCAGCTTAGAGTATATTAATATTCAGTAAAGGCATTCTATACACTGACACTGGTTTGTTTCCATTTCTGAGATAACCAAAACACAGCTGAGAATAAAATATGATTTGAGCTAAAAGGTAATGAAATTGTATCTGTGTGTGTCTGTTTGTGTGTGTCTGTGTATCTGTGTGTGTCTGTGTATGAGCAGTGAGGTTTGAACTAAGAGCCTGTGCCTTAGCATTTTCACTCAAGGTTGGTACTCTACAACTTGAGCCATAGCTCTACTTCTGACATTTTCATGGTTAATTGGAGATAAGAATCTTAAAAACTTTTCTGCCAGGACTGGCTTTGAATTGGGATCCCCAGGTCTCAGCCTCCTAAGTAGCTGGGATTGCAGGCATGAGCCACTGGTACGTGGCAAGAAATTATATCTTACAAAAGAAGTTTAAATTAAAACTAGCTAAAACTTCATGATAACACACACACATACACACAGTACTAGCCTTGAAATTGGACTATTTTAAATACAACGTTATCTTTAATAACTTATCTTCCTGCTTTGACTAGCTTCTCCTACAGAAAGCATCTTCTGTGCTTCCTTGAGCTCTGGATAGCAACCTCCAGATGCCGTCTCTTTATTTGCCACGTGAGGAAAACAGAACGGTAGGGATTGTCAGTTAGAGGGAGTCGAGGGAAAAGCCAATTAACATTCCGTAAGTGAAATATGTTCTTTTTAAAAGCTTTTAACAAACAGCATTTACAGTATGTTCAATATAATAAGGCCCTTGGGAGCTGGTAGGAATAGGAAATAGAATAGCAACTCCAAATGGTATTTAGTAAAGCCAATTGAAGTTTCCAGCAGCCGGGCAATTAATTAGCAAAGCGTCATTCTTGCTCAGTTTCCCTGGCGTGTGGCTTCATTTCTATGACCTGGGTATCATTTGTGCTGGGCCTGGCGGTCATTTGCTTTTAAGGAATTTTGTGTTTCATATCTAAGGTTCTTTTTTATTTGTGTGACATGATTACAAATTGTTACATTCTACAATGTATAAAGAATCATTTTATTGAAAATAATTACTGAAACCTAAGTGCAACAGAGCAGATCTGTATGTATGTGTGCACACACATACACACATGTGTGTACACACATGCACACACACAGAGTGAAGATCCACTATGAGACACTTTGGACCTTCCAAGTTAACATCCTCATATTTAAAGCCACGTTAGAAAAAACAGACAATGAATGCATTATGATTATCCCATGTTTCCTCAACTTTGCAAATACATTATTTCTCTAAGTAAAATGTAATTATGTTGTTCCTTCCATTCTGAGTGGAGAGATAGCGTGTACCCTGCTGGCCTGTAGTCTAACCTAGCCCTTAAAAGGAAATAGTTTTATTCTGGGCAGCTGCTCTATGGCCAATGCAGGGCGCTACTTGGTACTTCAAAGTTGCGAGCAAAACATCAAACTTACTGGTGGCTCTCAGAATGGCCATATGCAACAAAATCTCATGAGTATCTGGATCTGGAGCTATTTTCTTTGCCATTTTTTTTAACATATTACCTCTGTGTGTGTGTGTGTGTGTGTGTGTGTGTGTGTGTGTGTGTGTGTGTGTGCGCACACGCGCGTGCGTGTGCGAGTGTGAATCATAAGCCACCATCTTGGTAAACCTCAGCTGAAACACTGGATACTGCAGTGCTGGTCAGCTTTTCGTCAGCGGCACAGGCCCCACATCCCTGGTGTTCTCATGACTGCTAAAGGCTAACAACCTGCGGACGTAAACAGCACTTGGTAAGGGCTGAAGAAGCACAGCACGTCTGTAATTCCCACAAAGGGCCATTTACAGCCTTTAGCTTTCAGTTATAATTTTTAATTTGCTTTACGTTTAAATTTTATTTCATTTATTATTTTTTGGTGCAGGTACTGGAGCTAGAACTCAATGCTTTGTTGCTCTCTCTTGGCTTTTTTGGCTTCATCTCTTCCACTTGGGCCACACCTCCACTTCTGCCATTTTGCTGGCTCGTTGGAGCTACGAGTCTCCTGGGCTTTTCTGATTGAGCTGGCTTTGAACTCAGGCCTCAGATTTCCGAGTAGCTAACATTACACACAAGGTGTGAGCTGCAGGCACTGAGCCCTTTACTTCTAACATTGCCTTTCAACCTTGGTTTTTGGCCCTTTGGAGGCATTCTATGCTGGTTTGATGCGGACACTCCGGTCACGTTTTATTAGAGCAGAATTTAGCAACTATTTTTGCAAAATGGTAGACGTGTTTAGATACGGGAGCCTGGTGGTTTCGACCACACGCACTCAGCCATGTTTTCCTCATGTCAGGGCAGTCACAGACAAGCAAGGGTGTCAGTTCCACTAGAATCGTAGCCGTGAAGAAGGCCTGACCGGCCAGGCTCAGCCGCAGCCAGCAGCTTGTCGGCTCCTGTGCGGCAGGCACAGAAGTGGCCAGGAGGTTACCCACGTCTTTGACCCTCAGAACCAATGAACATGAGTTACGTGTTCAAGGCAGACTCCAGTGTGGCTGCATGTCAAAAGGACATGGTACATGTTTGTTGCAAATGTGTTGCATGTTAACAGAAAATGTGCAGTGCCATTATCGTTAAGGACTCTGGTTTCAGGCAGTTGTTAGGTTTATCTGAGCTGGCCATGTTTAATCACATGAGCCATTAAAATGAAGGACCCAGCCAGGCACCAGTGGCACACATCTGTAGTCCTGGCTGCGTAGGAGCCAAGGTTTATGATTCGCAGGCCAACCTGGCAGCAAAGGCCCTGAGC